AGAGAAAATCCACGGAGTGGCACAGCGTTGCTGAAGCCGTCAATGTTGAGTTCTTCAGAGAGATCTGTGGCTGATATAAAAAAGTGATTCAATCCGGATTCGGTCTCCAGACTCCCGGGTGAAAGTCACGCGTGCTAACCAGTCAGCCAAACGGAGATCTCCCCTGTACAAGTAGCCAGGGCACATGATCAATCGGGTCACAGTGACAGGACACATACTGTCACAGATGCATGACATTCTGTCTATCTGTCCCTCTGCTGATGTTCTGCATTCCGTATTCTGCGCTTCAGACTGTGTGTGTGTGTGTGAGTGTGCGCGCATGTGTGTGTATGAGCGCGTGCGTGTGTGTGCATGTGTGGGGGTCTTGTTCTGTGTGAAAACGAAGCGGTACAAGTGATAATGCTGCATGATTTCATAATTGTATCTTCTCAGCAGCAGCACTGCAGGTGCTCTCCATGTCCAACATGTGTGTAAGCCAGGTCCTTAGTCAACTTAAAGTTGTGCACATTTTTCTGCTACGTTTTCTTTCATAAATCCCAATGTGCCCTATTCTGCACATCTGGCTCTGTGCTGGTGAACTTGTGGCCCTGGAGGATGAGCCTGAGGAAGATGCTGTAGACGATGAGAGGTTGGTTTGGAGCAGGTCAGTGGCGCTCTGTCTTGCAGGAGGTACCAGCAGACCACCACTACTGTTAACAGGCAAGTCATTTATGTAGGAACCTCTATTATAAACAACACTGTGGTTTTATTCGCTGAAGAGTCTCCATTGTAGTACTGGTGGATCCATAAACCATCTCCTCATTTCATATTTCTGAATACGTCTTAGAGATATAACAGCCGTCGTCTGAGCCAGTGGCGGAGCTTGATATGTGCAACATGTGCGGCCGAACAGGGCGGCAGTCTGCAGGGGGCGGCATTTAATTTCCTTTTTTTTTTTTTTCTAAAAAAATATTTTTTTTTAGCATCAACCAATACATAAACAAAACATAGAAATCGCATCTTCTTAATAATAATAGTGATGATAATAATATTTCTGTAATAAAAGCACAACAAAGTGTAACCCATATCAACTACTCCCTGTCACATGACCCACGTCAGCTGATGTGAGGTCCCTCTCCTGATTGGCTCCTTCCAAGTCGCGGCAACCATGAAAGCTGCTCCTGCCGTGGCTGTAAGCTTGTTGCTTGTAGAACGGCGTTGGAAAACAAAGCGTTTTTCTCCCCTCAATTCATTTATACTCTCATTTTACCTCAGCGGTAAGTGTCCTTAACATCTACCAATAACACCCTTTTACTTGTCAGTGACCAGTCGATCGTTTTCGCTATAAAAAATGACCTTGTTCGGCGGAGTTCCCACCGCGAGCAGAACTCCGGTTCAAAAACGCTGTTTTTGAAACACTTTTATTTACTTAAGCACTTTAATGGGCTTAACTTGAAACCAAGAGCAATCGAATGATTATTGTTATGTGTTGCCTTGATTTCGGCTATGCTGTCTGTCAGACAGTTGTTTTCCTTTATTGTTGTTTTTGTATTTGTTTGTAGCAAACGCTACTGGAATGCATAGATTGAGCTACGTAGCCAAGATGATTAATAATTGACCTGTTGTACATTCGTGATATGTTTACCGGTAAACTGAATAGAACTTGATGTGCTAATGAACATTTCTCTGGCCTACAGGTCAGGTTTTTTCCCCCATGTTGAACTGATCTTCTTCATATTGAAGTGGCGAGCTGGTAGGACCATTCTTTCTTTTTGGAATCGGGAAATTAGCTATTATTTACCCCATGAAAAACGGAGCGGCAGCGGGCCGCTGGAGGTGCCCTGCTAGTAAGATCCCGTTTAAACTGTAAACTGCCATAAAATAAAAACTATAATAGCTAGAGCGGTCTTTTTTTAGCTGAAAGTTGAGACTCTCGCCTTTCAGCACATCTGTACTGTACAAGTCGATGATGCCATCATGTTGCGTTAAGTGTGTCTATTTCAGTAGAACTTTGACAAGTGGTGAGAAGGTGGCCAGGAGCTGGATGTTGTATTCAGTTAGCAAACGTTGTTATATATACACTCCACGCAATTTGAAACAAAGTTGTAGGTGTAATGTTTTTTCGTGTGTGTGTGTGGGGGGGGGGGGGTCACAGGGGGATCTCGCACAGGGTGTCATTTAGGCCAGCTCCGCCTCTGGTCTGAGCCAGCCCAGCAGGCCCTGTAGATGGACGATGGAGTGGACAGTGAGAGGAAGCGTCCCAAAGCTCTCTCTGCAGACCGTCCTGTATGATGTTCCTCTGGCCAGAAACGTCCAGCCACGGGTCTGCTCCAGCCCTCCATCCACGTCTGGACCCTCCTGCAGCAGATCCAGCTGCACTGATAAAGACTTCCTGCTCACTCAGTTTAAAAAAATGACCCAGGAAGAGTCACTCCTGCATCACCTGTACATAACTGGGCCATACTGGTTTTGATCTGTAAATAGCTGTCATGTATTACAAATAATCCCGTTACCGTCTTTTCATTTTCTGTTCATGTAACATGTTCAAAAACATCGTTAATAACAAAATCAATCATCAAAATGCGTTATCAGTTAGTAGTTGTTTTAATAACACACACACACACACACACACACACATGGGAATAATGGGACCCACCATACAAGCAAAACAATATACAAATGAAAAATGTCCACCAACAGAACCGTTTTAAGCATTTTACTTTTCTACTAACAAACTTAAATGTAAAACTTTGCTGCTCTTCTGTTTCCCTTCTTGCTGAAAATCCAACGGCCAGTGCGCAAAGCATGCTGGGATAGCCTTGCTCGGTAAGGATACACAAGACCCATCCTTGAAATTTGGGTGGAATGAGGACGCATTTGAGGACGTGAGAATGAGTATCCTTGGAATTTGGACAGTACTCGTCGCTGCACTGTGATGTCATCGACCACAAAATGCACTCTTACAAGCATCCTGCCCCTGGATTCAGATACACCCCGTGTCTACTACGGTGCTATTAGAAACTAATTTGTTCAGTTTAGGAGCAAAACGTTGATTTATGGGTAACTCTATTTATAACTGGGTGACTCTTTAAAATGACCTGCCATCGTCCTCTTTGCCTCCACCTTCGTCTGATCAATTTTTATTTATTTTTGTTTTTGTTTTTATGTCCACTGCAATTGCTCCAGGTTCAGCCACACACAGCTCACTGCCTCAAACACGTGGTGTAGAATAGGTGTAGAAGACTTTTTCATGTTCATCGACATGTACACTGGAAAAATAACGTCCATAGGCTCGAGTTATATGTTTTTTAAAGAAAATGAGAGGTTCCCGCCATCGCCATTTTGACCGTGTCACTTGTCTTGTCACGCCCAGACAATCCAAAAATGGGAAAAGGGGTGGTGCTGTTCTGGTTTAAACAGGGTTGGAACAAATGAACCAGTGTAGCTACTAGCTAACTTAGCTCAACCAAGAAGCTAAGAAGGGGCTTCTGGAGAGCCGACCCAAGAGGCCGATTGGTTTCCATGCGGGGCTGTAGTCATGCTGGTCATCTGTGGAGCTATAACAGGGGTATTCGGCTCCTGTCCTGGAGGGCACATTTTAATGGTTTCTTTGCTTTAACACACTTGATTGAGTGGTTGAATAACTAGTGCAGCAGCTCATCTCTGCAGAAGCCTGTTAATTACCTGCTGGTTAAAATCCTGTGATGTCATGTTCCGCCTCGGTCGGAGATCAGCAGGAGATTAGCTAAATGCTAACTCAAGCTAACAGAGGCAGGGTTTGCCACAGAAAATGAGTTAAGCCTGGCAGATTTGGCCGTCAGAGGGGAGCGAGAGGGGGGTAGGTCGCGCGCTCCGTCCCGCAGTGCTCCTTCGTGAGAGCGGGGGTGGGTGTGGGGGTGTAACGATTCGTTAGTCACATCTGAAGTAATGGCCCATAAAATGTGAGATTCCATAGGAAATATGAAATCAATTTGATGGATCTGTGAATATTACTTTAAGCAGAAGATTGGAACTTTTTATTGCAGGGATTAGATAACACTTCGTATTAACTCCAAGAAAGAGAGAGAGTCAAGTTTAAAAAGTTACAAGATTTATTTCTAAACAATTTAAACAAGACTAACTTTAAACACTATGTGTATGATGTAACTAAGGTGGAGTAAGACTGAGGATGTGTGTGTGTGAAATACCGTAAATCCTCTAATATTAGCCTGTATTCAATTAACGGCCGGGTATCACATTTTGGCCGGTGTTGGAGTCGGCGGAGGTGAATAATGGCCGGTGTCGGAGTCTAACCCTAACTTTAACCGTGAGGAGACGAAGAGGAGGCGAAAATTTGATTTCAAGTTCAAAGAGAACGTGCTGATTATGCTGCAGAACACTCTGGGGAGCAGTAGCAGGGGTTGTATGAACTAGTCACTAGTCGACTTCATCGCTCTATAGTGACTTGTTATGCCTGTCATCGACTAGTCACCGTCACGTGATAATGACCGGCAAGATGCAGTCCACGGAAAAGACAGCAACCTGCTGTCAGCAGGGGACAAGCTCCTGCACGTTGGGACGCAACGTGCTGTGCCAGAGCATCGGTACTGACACCCGCCGTAAAACGGACAGTTAACGAAATTGTGACATTTACCCTCTTGCAATTTAACCTTCCCCTCACCCATCCTAACCTTAACCAGCTTGCGCATGCAAAGCTCTGATTGTTGACGCGCTCCAGACATCTGCGTCCTGAGCACGGCCACAGTAACGTTATCAAATCAGGTGTCACCACCTCAAAAACTAACTTAACACGCGATCGTTCATGTCGGCTCATTTCCTTTAATGTTTTCTGTCTTTTATTCTTTTATTTGTGCCTGATGCTTTTCACTGCAGCGGATCAGGATGCATCACCTGTTTTGTCCTCGGTGATGCACCTAACTGATGCGGCCGGCAAGCACTCCGCTGTTTTTGCGGTCGGTATATCTTTTAGAACTGCAGTTCAAAGGTAACTCATGAGGTGAATATATATGAACCCAGGTAGCAGTTTCTCTTTAGGATTGAGAGGAGATGCAGGAAGATAATAAACAGGCAGGACAGAAAAATAGTCAAATAAAAACAAGTTAGTTTTTGTACCTGCTGGTTGCAACAAACAGACACCATTGAAGGTAATCAGAAGTGAGGAACAGAAAATGAAATAATTATTTTAATGTTTAGAGCAGCAGGAACTCTGAGAGGCTCCAGGCGCATCAGTGAGTTTGTGGCCGCTGCACAGGGGGAGGGGGGAGAGGGCTGAAGCAGAAACTACCATTGTTAAAGAGCAAGTAACGTCTAAATTAACTTTTTTTTTTGCTGATGAACTGTATAAATGAGTGTCTAATAGTGTTTTAAATGTGTGTATTCATTATTTTAGCATTTTGGAGCATTTTCTTTAAAAATTAAAAATTCTGCCTAAATATCACAGTATAGCTCCACCTTCAGCTTAAAACATAGAATTTGACTCATTTTGAATAAATTTTAGCCAATGGCTAAAGAGTAAGATACTACGTAAACCAGTAGAGTACTACGTAGCAGCTCTGTGTCAAAGTTATAAAAGCATCGAGAGTCTCGGCCACGCCTTGTGGCCAGTTGGGAGTTGGATTTGCAAGCGAGTGTAGGAGGTTAGCCGTAGTTCAGCATTAGCATATCCTAGTCTTTAGCATAGCTTTTAGTGTTATAAATACTTATTTATTACAATGATCACACACTAGGAATGTTATAAAGTGCCTATATAGGACAGTTTCTTTTGTATATTATCTGACTTTATAAACTCCAACAACGATGTGCTTCTATTTTTTTTTTCAGGCTGAATCTACCCAAGACATTGGCTGTCAGACTGATTTAGCTGCAAGAATGCACTTGTCCAGGCTGACGTGAAGCCTTACCCGTAGCAAAGGTGAATTATTTTTAATAATCTTCTATGTAAACATTTTATTATTACCTTCTAGTTTTAATTTGTTTTACAGATTATTGTTACACATGATTTTATGCTCTTTTAAACATTTATAAATGTGCTGCTACTTTGTTTTTTACATAGCCACCCAGTTTAGAGCTCCCAGCCGCAGTGTGTCTTGTGACACGGGGACCATGACGGAAATTCATCTTCCAGAAAGTCCCAGAGCAGCGTCCACACCCCTGAAAAGACCAAGATGTGAGGTGTCTGCTGTTGATTCCAGCTTCCACCTCAGTGGCAGTGCAAGCTCAGCGAACTGTTCAAGGTAAAACAAATTAAAACATTTCAGAATTTTTAAGATATTAACAATTAAATAAGTATGTGATTACATCATGACATCATGAAGGAGGCTACTGATTCTGCCCCTGTGATACTTGGTGGTGACGTGTGAGCTGATTCACCTGGTAAATAACTTCTACATTAAATATTTTGTTTTTGCTATCAAAAGTAAATTAACTAATAACCTGCATTATTGCAGGACACTCAGCAAAATATGGACTCTACACCATGAGGCAGGCACACGTTAATACTCTATAAGAGCACATAAGGTGAGCAACACCACATATTATTTTTATTACTGTACACTGTCCTGGATTTGTTTTCTTTCTGCATGATTTGTTTTCTTTCTGCATCTCATTAGCCTGGCTGATCACCTGATAACTCCTGTCATCTGGTTGTGACAGCATGAGGATGTCCTCACACACCTGTAACCTATCAGCTCATCTGGCAGAATAGAGAGAGAAGAGACAACACCACATCTCCTGTTCCTGGAAAGCCTTCAGCCATCCTTCGATGACTGAGAATCTCCATCAGCTCTGTCTCCTGTCTGCCTACAATTATTATAATAAATATTGTGTTTGACAAGTTTTTTGTGCTGCCAAATGTCTCATTTTGATTCCAGTTTTGATATTTTAATGGATATTTATAAATTACATTGATTATCACATTGTTGCATGTTTAATGAGCTCTATTGTGATGAATTAAACTAGCACCTCACTGTTAAAAGCTCGTTTTAATTTCAAGCATGTTTAAGTATTTATGGACATGAACAAAAACAGGAAATATATAAATTGAGATTTATTTAATTAATATAACAAATAAGGGAGAGAGAGTCATTGAAAGGCACATTCTTCCGGAAGCGCCTGATCCTGACGACACCAGCAGAGACCAGCTGCAGACACCAGAGGACCTAGAACCAAGAGAGCAGCTGTTATCAGTAAATAATGAAATCAGGGCAGTTTTAGTGAGCTGAACACATTACAGAATAATTTTCTCATGGGGTAGTTTCATAACTTTCTATGCAGCAGACTGTAACTTGAGCCCAGAGCTCCTGGAGAGCTATCCAGCACATTTCAGTGGATTTTCCTGCTTTAACAGGTTAGATTAGCTGTTAAGCAGCTCAGCTATTTGTTGCTGATTAAAACCAGGTGTGTTGAAGCAGATAAACCTCTAAAACATGCTGAATACTAGTTCTCTAGGGCCATGGAGCCAAACCCTGCAGCTAATCCAATGCTATGGCTAACGGCAACTTACCATTCAGAGCAGGTTCTGTTGGGTCGGTTCCGCTAGTTTCAGGCAACTCACAAGCTCAAAACAATAAGGCTCAGGTCCGCTTGTCCCCTCCAAATAGACTTGGACCCTTTCTTCTCGAGTATCTGGGTAAGGAGGGGGAGAAACGTCCTCCACTTCTTATGACTGCTCAGAGTGAAGGGAGCTAGCTTCGTCTAGTTAGCCATCGTCTTCGTCACTGCCGCGGCTCCGCCCTCTCGGTCCTCCAGGCAACGCCTACTAATGTTGCATTTTTTAAAATTGATACATGGGTGGAGAAGGACTCCGAGGCACACTTGACCTGCTCTTTAAAAGAAATGTGTTTACCTTTGAAAATGTGGGCGCAATTTTAATTGTCAAAAACTCCAGCGAACCATTAGTTCATTTTGCTCAAATAGAAATTGAGGCCTGCCTCTAATTCTGGTCCTCCTTCCAATAAAAGCCTGGAGCTTGATGAGCTCGAGTCAAATACAGGCCCGGGCCTGTATTAGAGGATTTACGGTATGTTCAGAACCAGCAAATCCGGAGAGACTATTAGTTCTGAGTGGGAGTGAAATGGTGTTTCGCTCTAACCTTTGGTTTGGAGATTATAACACACATTGAGACGCCATCTGTCGGCCTACGTACCCCAACGGAAGTCCCTGTTTTGATCAGGAGGTGTCGAGGTCCAGCTTGGACCTTGTCTGGAACCGAAGCCTGTAGCTTTTTTTTTTCTTGAGATACTCCCAGGTCACGACAGTTTTATTGGTATCTAGCGAGACCCTGAAGGGGTCGTGATGGTTCAGCTTTTATTCTGAAGGAACCGTTGCAGCAGGTGGAACATGCAACAGATTTAATCCAGCTTGTTGTTAGGTTCTTTCGGCTTTAAGAGGAAAGTTACGGATTGGCCACTCCGACAACTTCTCTAGAACGCTTGGAACTGAAGTTAAGATGACGTGGGGCATAGTTTTATAATTTGGATGTTTTGATTTACTGTCGAATCAGAATTTGCCACAAAAGGGGATTATACAAGCACCAACAAAACCACGCCTCGCGTCAGATCTGGAAGGTTCTGATTGGATCAGAAAAAGGAAATGTGTCATGTGACTTTAGCTTTACGTGTGATCAGTGTAGTGTAAATATTTAAAGTTATATTACTTATTATAACACTATCATAGGATTATAATTTCAAGTAAATAATATTCTCATTTCAGAGATTGATTGAACATTAGCTTCACATGATTATTTGGACTAACAAAGTTATTTGATTATTATTTAATAGAGTTCTTCATCTTCTTTTTTCTTTTCTGTGCTGTCCGAGGAAGCAACAGTTTAGATAAGAGCACACTGCAGGAGTGCCCTTGGCCCATATCCTGTAGATTAGGTTTGTGTCAGAAACTTGTGTTTCTGTTTGGGCAGAGCAAATAGAGCAGGGCCTTTAGGTCAAAAATGGACAATTCATCACGCTACCGGGGGTTGCACACATTCCGCTGCTATTTCTAGTTTCGTTGCGCCGTTCATGTCAGCAGACACGGTAGGGTCGGGGAGGGGGGCGGGGCATGACACTTAGTCTGGCGGGTGGCCAAACAAAGCCTGGCGGGCCGCCAGGCTTATGAAGCGCTGGGGAAAACCCAGAGAGGTTTTTCAGGCGCTTTTAGCAAGAAAAACACGGTAAAGCAACTTCAAAATCCACTCAAACAGCAGTGGTGTTTCTGTATTCTCCCTCAGAGAGCTCCACAGGCAAGCAGCACAATTAGGCTGGCATGGAAGCCAGGCGGACGCACAGCGCATCTCGGCCCCCTCAGGAGACTGGAACGTGCCAGCTGCATGAAGAAAGTGTCCCCAGCCGAGAGACAGGACCTCGTTAATATTTTACCACAGCGGACCAGCGAAGCCCCGAAGCCTCTGCTAGCTAACTTCGGTCAGCTCATGAGTTTTGTAACCCAGCCAGCCGACACATTTCAACCTATCTTTGACCAAGCAGTGCTATGTTAAGTTCACACGAATGCACAGCATTTACCCCATCAACCAGCAAAATCAAGTACAGAA